TCCAAGCAGCCCTGAACTCTCTCATACATTGACAGGACGCTAGCCAGATGAATACCGATAGATGCTGGTAGGCAGAGGCACAATTTTTTCCCCCTTATTTTCCTCCGAAAAACTTGCCCGATCAGAATAGTTTCATAGGGAAGCACAGGTACCCTGCTAATGTAACTATATATTTACCATTGGAATCTCATTAATACAGTTTTTCTTTTAAATTCGCAGAGACACTTCCTCTGCAGGTATAAGCAGCAAATAGGAAATTCAGATTCCCCAGACCACAATTTGAAAAGAAAGGTGCATTTGATGATGAGCTAAGATCTCTGTGATTAAAGAACTGGCCATTAAGTTCAGATGGCTACAGAGTGATTTCTGCTTTCATTGTAGCAAGGAGGAGGAAGGCATGCCATCCTTTCCTGTTCTGTGCACAGGAAATGCATCATGTGATGCACTTATATCATGCCCTGACTCAGGCTGTTCTTAATGGGAAGAAAGGGGAAATGCGTGCTTGGGTCACCCGTGACGTGAGGTGCTTTGACAAGGCAAACCAAGTACTTATCTGCTGCCCAGTAAATGTTTGATCTGGCTTTTGAATTACAGTTACTGTCAGACCTACCACCACTTAAACATCTAAATAGAACCGATCCTTGGCTCCATTTTTGGAGAAAGGTATACTTTTATTAGAAGTCGAATGTAGTGCAGTAATGCATAGCCAGAACTGAGAATCGTGCGCCAAAATCCCTAAGTCCAACTTATCCCTCCCTCCCATCACTTACCACCCCTCCATGGCCAATCAGGTTCATGCAAAGTGTTTTCGGAATGGTCAGTTGGTATGCAGCTGCCTTCTTTTCCCAGTCGGGTGACCTTGAGGCAGCTTCTCAGGGAGATACAGCGGTTACTTTCATTTCCCCTAAGCATTCATTTTCATTTTTTCCCTCCCAACTATCCTCCTCAGTGTTCATGGCAGACTATCACCATGGTAGCGAGGCACAAGCAAGCTTAAAGTGGCAGCTAACAGTTACTTTGCTTAAGCTTTTCTTGTAGGCGACTTCTCAGATAATTAATAACCTACATAGATGCCATGGTTCCATAGGAGATGGTACCTTGAGATGTGACATTTGTTGATAAAGTGCTATTGACTGAACATAAACTTCCGCATTATTTGGGGCTGTGAATCCCAGGGGTGGGATTCTACCGGTTCGGACCGGTTCTATAGAACCGGTTGTTACAATTCTGCGCAGTTTGGAGAACCAGCAAATCGTACCCCTGGCTGGCCCCTCCCCTCCCCGCCCAGTCAGCCCTTATCGCACATGTGTGACATCGCACGCATGCCCGACAGATGATTGCATTCTCCCCTGCCCAGTCACTCCTTAAGGTATTTGGTGTTTTTTTTTCCTCCTCCCGACAATCAGCTGTTCCGACGATCAGCTGTGCTGGGATCCCCCTCTCTGTCTTACTGCTTTGCCCAGGAGGCTTCCCTGATGCCCAGGAGGCAAAAAAATAAAAAAATGGAGTGCGGGAGGGGGGGTGTGCAAAAAAATAAGCCACGCCTGCCCATTCACATGACCACGCCCACCTAGCCACACCCACAGAACCGATTGTTTAAAAATTTGAATCCCCATCCCTGGACATGACCCAGGAATAGCTTATTTCTTTGACTTCTTTCAAAAGATGAACATCATTCTTCCTCTTTGCTACTGGGCATGCACGGTAGCTTGCTTGCTTACAGGTTGTCCTCGACTTACAATCGTTCGTTTAGTGACCATTTGAAGTTATGATAGTGTTGAAAGCCAGTTCTTATGATTGTTGCAACGTTCCCATGATTACCACTGGCAGGCTTCCCAGACAGCTTCCAACAAGCAAAGCCAATGAGGAAGCAGGAAGGAAAGGTTGCAAGTCACGATCATGCGATGTCTTGCTTAACGATTGCACCACTTAATGATGAATTTTCCAATTCTAATTGTGGTCTTAAGTCAAGGACTACCTGTATTTATTTACTTGTTTACTTGTACATTTTATCCCAATGGTTTTCTTAGAGTTTGTTTGTTTGCCTTTATTATTTTTACAAATCACTCAAGGGGGGTGAATATATCTAATACAACTACTTCTTCCTATATTCTCCACAATAGCAATCCCGGGAGATGAGTTGGGCTGAGAGAGAGAGTGACTAGCCCAAGATCACCCAGCTGCCTTTCGTGACTAGAATTCATAGTCTCCCACTTTGTAGTCTGGTACCTTAACCATTCTTGCCACCTCCATAATTTTAATCGTTTTTCTAGTAGTTTAGACTTTAGTTCTTCCAAAGAAGCAGCACAATTCAAACTTATTAAAGCACACAATTTTTTTTCCATTGTAAGAAATGCCTTTATTTAAACCTAGGAATTGCACGCACATTATTACTATTTATATCAAGAACCTTAGAAACAGATGCATGTTCTTGCAAATAGGCCACAAGAATTATTTGCTGTGTATTTTCTCTGCCCCCCCCCCTCCCCAATCCTTCCATGAAAGAAGAAAGGAAAGGAAAGTTCTGCTGGGTGTTGCATGAAGTTGGTAGATTTCAAAGGGTCTGTCGTGGCCCTGTTGGAGCTTGTCCGTGGAGGAGGACGAGCCAGAGATAGGGCAGATTAAGGTTGAGGGGGGGGGGTCTCGTTGACTTTGGAGGAACTCGGGGAGAAGCGGTACGAGGCAGCTCTGGGTCCCTCAGGTTTGGGATGGCTTGCCAGCAGGGAAGAACAGGAGCAGGACAACCAAGAGGGGGGGGAGAAGAGAGGGGGGGAGATGAGCAATGGAGCTCAGGCAATAAGCAAGGACAGACTCCCTCCTGATCCCTGAGCACGGAGAGTGGAGATGAGGCGGGAACAGCACAGGCTGACCTAATGACTCCGCCCCTCTTTACAAAGCACACCTGGGGACTGAGACTTAAGGAGACACTGTGGGGAGGGGCGTTTGTTGGAACAAGCACTGTGTCAGCTTTAAAATTCAGCTGCCACATTTTTTTTTCCTTTTAGAGAGTTGGAGGAATTGAAAAGTTCAAGGTTATTCTGTATGTCGTATTAAGTAATTCCAGTGGCAGTTAATTGGTGCTCGTGATTTATGAAGTGCAGAAGTGGGAGGAGAGAAGGGAGGAGAGAGGGTGGATTCTGTGTAAGGCGCGAAAATAATTTCACTTGGGAAATTGCCTTTGACATGCTAGATCTGTTTCTAATAAATTCAACCTTGGAGAGAGATGTCTCGGAGTGATTGATATCATGGATACTTTCTGGATGCCTAACACACTGAATTTGTGGAGTTTGGTGTGCTGTTGCCAATGTCTAGAGTCTTGTTCCTTTGCTTCGTTGGATTCCTTGACTGGTTCTCTTGACCCGCTGGACTTCTTGCCTTGAAGCTATTGTGCTAACAGCATTTTGCTGGACTACTCACAGCCAGAGTCTACTGGAAGAGTGTATGTGTGATGTGTGTGTGTGTGTGACAGAGAGAGAGAGTGAGACCAGCCATAAACATGGGAGCGTTTGAGGGAAAGTTGAAGCAATAGAGGGGCATTTTAAACTATCAACTGACTGTGTTGCCTCTGTGCCTTGCCCCGGGTCATCACTGGATCTTCCTGTGTGCTGGTTCTTTCGAAGCTCGTTCTAAGGAGTTGCTCTTAATCTTGATAGCTACAATGGGGATTTTTGAGAAACACCTTAATAACAACAAGGCATTTCATCATATCCCTGAAAGGCTGTCTTCAGTTGGCAAATATACACAGGTGAAGAAGAAGAGGGAGAAAAGCTATTAAGAGACTGATCGAAGACCAATGGGATCCAAAAAACAAAGTGGCAAATTTGATTAGAACACCATTTTATGCCGTCAAAAAAAAAAAACGCAAAAGCCCCACAGCAACCACTCATTGCAACAATAATCGACAGTATAAAGTCTTAACATTGCTAAACAAGCATCTGTTTTGGAGAAAAGCTGTTGCCTGTATTGTAATCAAGTCAAATTTTATTATTTCTGATTCAGCTACTATGCACTAGCATCCAATTTCAAGTCCTTCTGTCGAGGAATAATAGTGTTCAGGCTTGCAGTAACTTCCAATAGAAATAAAAATGTCCTCCTACAACAATTTTGAAGTCCAATGTAGCCAGTTAATATGTTTATTGTTCCACTTTGCCCTGTTGCATTCCATCCTTTTTTTTTTTTTTTTAAGGCAAATGGAATATGCCAGAGCAGCATTTGGAAAACACTTCCCATTTTTCAGGACCGTCTTTGGGGAATCATGGCTAGAACAAAAAAAGAAGTGAACAGCCTTTGCATTACCTGTTCCATCTATCATGAATGAATTGGCTTTATGATTCAGTAACTAACTGGATAAGCTGCTGTGTATGCACTCAAAAATAATGAATGAATTGAGTGAAATTTACTCCCAAGGTCACAGTCTGGCCATATTTGCAAAACTAGAACCATGTTCCTAATTTGTATGGCTCTGATGAGAATTGAGACAAAAAATGGGCAAAATGCGACATTTTAATGACAATAGCAATAGCCGCCTATAACCCATTTTCTGTCTCAATTCTCTGCTTTCCAGCCCTCTATAAGCGGTTTACAGAGAGTGAGCATATTGCCCCCAACAATCTGGGTCCTCATTTTACCCACCTCGGAAGGATGGAAGGCTGAGTCAACCTTGAGCCTGGTGAGATTCAAACTGCCAAATTGCAGGCAGCCGGCAGGCAGCAGAAGCGGTCTGCAGTATTGCAGTCTAACCACTGCGCCACCATGGCTTATCACAGATAGCGCTTGATTTACAACTGCAACTGAGCCCAAAATTTCTGTTGCTAAGGAAGACAGTTAAGTGAGTTTTGCCCCATTTTACAACCTTTCTTGACACAGTTGTTAAGCGAATCAGTGCAATTCTTAAGCTAGTAACATGGTCATTAAGTGAATCTGACTTCCCTGTTGACTTTGCTTTGTTAGAAGGTCGCAAAAAGGTGATCCCATGACCCGGGACGCTGCAACATGATCATGAGTCACTATTTTTTGTGGGGGGGGTGCTGTTGTGACTTTGAACGGTCCCTAAATGAATGGTTGTAAGTGGAGGACTACCTGTACTAGAAAAATAAACTGAAGTGACCATCCCTGGGCATCTGGAAAAATAGCAGAAATAACTCTCCTTGTTAATGGTCCTTTCTCCTTATCATCTCTTTTTCGCCCCAATAGAAGAGCGAGTGGTTCCCATAGAAGTTTGCCGTTCCAAGCTGTCCAAATATTTACAGGGAGTCGTTTTCCGCTGTGACAAGTGCACCTTCACCTGTTCCAGCGATGAGAGTCTACAGCAACACATAGAGAAGCACAATGAGCTGAGACCTTACAAATGCCAACTCTGCTACTACGAGACCAAGCACACGGATGAGCTCGATGCTCACCTTCGCGATGAACATAAGGTGAGTGGTGGTTTCTGCTCGCTGAGGCCCAGGCCTTTTGACCTGGCGGGGGGAGGAAAAGGGAGGGGTCTCACCTTACTTGAGATGTCAGCTGGCCAGCCTCTTCTAAAGGAACTCGGTTTTTTTCCACATGCACCTAATGAATTGAACACATTTTTCCATAATTAAGGGGATGTTTGTCACAGGGTGCAGACCTTGGGCTCTGGGCCTTTAAAATGGGGTTAGAGGTAAATGCAAAGAGGAAAATCTATCAATCATTATTAGGCAAAAGAAGTATAACCTGCCATTAAATGTTGCACTGTGGAGACCTCATTCCGTGCCCCTCATCTTGGTTTTCTGAATTTATACTCCAGTAGCATTGCTAACTGATTCAACAGCTTGTTGAACTCCTTTTCCTCTTTGCCTTTGCCCCCCTCCAAGAAAATGTTTCACTTCTCTAAAAATAATAATAATATTAATTGGGAGTGAATCTACTCTCTGTTGGAAGTGGATCTTTATACCCAGACAGTAAACCTGCTGTTAGCGTGTGGCAGAAAATAGATTAGCATAAATCAATCACTGTTTTCTGATTATCAGTACTTTTAAGGCAGCAACTCCAGAAACACAACAAACAAACAAACAAAAAACACCTGCCCTTCTATATTGAGCTGCTGTGATAAAATGGACGGAAAACCATTGCCTTAACTTGACCACGTGCCTGTTTCTAGTGTAAAGAAACAAATCCCAGTGCTGACTGTGTTGAGTGTCAGCTTCACTCTTTACGTTTAACAGTACAAGCTACCGACTTCACCGCTTCGCATCTGGTTCAAGGTGATGAGCTTCCAGGAACTTTAGCTAAAAGGGCTGTTTTAAATGGTTAGAAATGGCAAAAGGCGGTACAGGCCTAAAATCTCACCCGCTACAATCCATCAGATGAGAAGATTGGACCTCTTCTTTTCAGAAGCTTTCTGCCACTGAAGATGGGCTGTTGGGATAGGCTGCAAGCAGCAGGCAGTAACAAAGGTCTCTGAACACATTTGTTTAATTGTGTACTCATTGAGATGCAAAGTGAAACACAATATTCCAGATGGTAACATGATACATGACATTAGGAAGGTGTTCTGTATTCACCAACCCTTGCCCAAGCTGTCCTGCCAATGTTTTGTTAGCAGGTGTCTCATCCCAAAGAGTCACAACGTTGTATAAATTGAGTTGTGTTATGAAGCATGCAGCGAAAGGCCCCCTTGCAAATTTAATTGTACAGAGGACCATATTTATTCCTATCAGATGCCTTAATAATGGTGATACATTCTGCTCAATTAAATATATGGAACAAAGAGGATGGTGTATATATTATCTCAAGCTGGTCCAAAAAGTTTATTTTTTCCCCCTGCCAGAAGTGAGTCAATTGAAGGCTTCCATCTTTGGTTCCCATGCCCTATAGTTGTATCTCTAAGGTATTGTGCAGGGCCCCAGGTTTTCACCATTCCCTCCCATGATGGCTGCACTGGGTGGCGAGCCAGCAACATTGTAAGAGGTGGAGGTGTTGGTTGCATGAGAAATAACAAGCCTCTCTGGGAATCCAGTCATTATACACAGCCCTTAATTAATCAACCAATTAATCAATGTAGGGAGGTCCAATTAAGCTCTCAGTATGTTCTGTTGCTCGACTGTGCTGGGACTTGGAAGTTCAGAATGGATATGTCCGCTTCCTGCTCCACCCTATAGAAAGTTATCAGCGGCGTTTTCTGGGGTTTATAGAACAGAGGTCTTCAAACTTGGCAACTTTAAGACTTGTGGTCTTCAACTCCCAGAATTCTGGGGATTGAAGTCCACAAGCTTTAAAGTTGCCAAGTTTGGGGACCCCTGTTATAGAATGTATAGAGCTGCTCAACTTTGCAACCCTGGATGGCGTACAATAGTGTCCCAAATCAAAACAAGATGAATGATTTCAATTAACTTCTAAGAGATTAATAGGCAACCAGAAACTTGCATTCATATCTTGCTCCAGACAAGAACTCCAATTTTCCCACCCTGAAGAGAAAGCACTTTTTTAAAAATTGCCTTTCTAAAGGCCAACAGGGTCCAGGCCAATGGTATCTTGGGAGCGGATCGTTCCAGAGGGCATTGTTTCTCTTATCTCTGCCTTTTCTTTCATCAGCACTTTCATCTTCCTTCAAATAAGGGCAAATGTAAGCCTTGCCAGAAGAAACCATCTGTCTCTGTTACTTAACCCTTTTCAGATATTCAACTCTTTGCTTTGTTCCTATGGAGCAGATTCCCTGTTGTGGAATAGTGAGAAGAGTATGGGTCTATGGAATTTCAAGCATGTGTAGTGTTATCACAGTTGTTTTCAACCTGTTGTTTCCATACCTGGCTACTATACAGTTGTTTGGATTCTCCATTCCTTAGAGGAGAGTCCTACACCCAGGAAAAACAAGCAGCCACTTTAAAAGAGTAGCACTCACAGTGCCGTTTTTTGCAAATACGCTGTATTGTTTTCTTCCCCAAAGGTGAGTCGCAATTTTGAGCTGGTTGGACGGGTTAACTTAGATCAGTTGGAGCAAATGAAAGGAAAAGAGGAGAGCTCCAGCAGTGATGAGGAAGAAAAGGATGAGGAGATGAGCCCCGAGACAGAAGAGAGAGGTCAGTGTTGCGGTTGTCTTGCTTAATTCTCCGTCCAGCAGTTCCAGGGAGAAACATTTTGAAAGCTTCCAGTCATGTTAAGATACAAACTGACTTGCCTTTCCTCCAAACAGGAGCCTGTTCAAAGGACAGTTTGTTCGGGAAACCTTTACAGTCTGTTCATCATTCCACGAATATATCACCATGGGTTTGGTTTGTTTCTTTTTTTGCAACCGTCCAGGTATAACAGATCCCCAGTTCCTTATAAATAGATCTCAGATTTGAGGAGTATAATTAAACATTAACCTCTTTGAAGCTTAACTCATGGGTCTGATCCTCCGTAGTATTAATTTTTCAACAAAAAGGAACTGCCGATATGGGCATAAGCACTCACTGTCCCAAAGTATTGGGTTTCTTAAAGAATTTTTAAATCCATGCACATGACCAGAAGGAAAATGTATTTGTGTAACACCATAAAGATTACGTTGATACCAAGTGAACTTTTTTTTATTGGGGGGGGGGAAGGGGAGAAACAAGGCAAAACAAGGTGGCATGGCCGTTGTCTTGAGGACTTGCTTGTTTATCACTTATGTCCTCTTTTCACCTGAAATGTGCCCATTTCCTGCACTACTGATCTTTGATTGTGAATTTGATCCTCCCAATGGCAGGCAGACAGTGAGTGAGAAGCCACAATCTCATTCGCTGGCATTTCACATATGCTGGTTCATAAGGGAATCATAATTAACCGTAACAATATCTCCCTTGTATTGTTACATTCCATTCTTAGCTTGTCTGACACCATAGCTGTTGATAGACCTGTTCTCCACAAACTTAAGTCTCAGTTTTTATTCCTTTCTTTCTTTGATATGTCCGTCCCGTTCCCCCCGCTTCTCATATGCATAACTCTGGGCAGCTAATAAAAACGTAGCAAAAAGCAATAGAGATTTAAAAAGAGCAGAAATGGCATGAAACAATATAGTAATTGAGAACACTGATTTAGCACAACTGTGACCATGAAATGGTTCGCCCACTCTATCTTCTGTCTTGACGACAAAACCAGGTTCTCCATGCCTTGCAAAAAGCCAACCGGCTTGGGACAAGTTCAGTCTGTGGGGAAACCATGTTCCTGGGGATGGGCACCTTGATAGAAAAGGCTTTGCTCCTAAATCAGATGGCACTAGATCAGGGGAGTCTTCAAACTTGACAGCTTTAAGACTTGTGGACTTCAACTCCCAGAATTCCTCCTCCAGTTATGTTAGCTCAGGAATTCTGGAAGTTGAAGTCCACAAGTCTTAAACTTCTTCAAACAAGTTTGAAGACCCTTGCATTAGATCATGGGTAGGACCTGGAATATGCCTTTTCCTTTGGGTCCCACAACATGGGTAAACACCACTAGAAAGAGATAAGCTGGTAGGTGGTCCAGCCCAGCCATTAAGGCCTGAAGAATACCTTGAATTGCACTCAAAAGCATCCTGATAGCAATACAGCTCTTAAAGCAGAGGTAGCACGTATACTGATCAACTGGCACCCAGAACTGGCTGTGATGCTATATTTTGTGCCAGGCAAAACTTCTGAATACTCTTCAAGGACAGCCTGTTGTAGAGCACGTAGCAGTAATCCAAGTAGGAGATGACTAAGGCATGACTATGAAAAAGACCTCACAGTCCAGAACAGTTATGTGATGCATAACACAAAGTTATGGCTGCCACCTGCTCTTCAAATAGAAGCTGCAAATCCAGGAGGGACCCACCAATTGCACAGGGGATCTGCCTGAGGTAGGGCAACCCCACCCAGAACAAAAGATGGAGATCACCAAAACCAAAGCACCCTCGAACACAAAGCCCCTTTGTCTTACTAGCTTTGAGCTATGGACATTTGATCAAGATTTTCCAGTACTGGGTCCTTCAGAAACCTGCGGGGAACCCTAGGAGAAATAAATTGTTAAATGATGGAGTTTATCTACTATGATTTACCTTTCGACAGCAAAGTCTATAAAACTATAGACGGCCTTTGCCTTTCCCTCCAAGAATTTGCTCGCTTGGAGGACCCAAACTGAAGCAGATAGATTGACATTTGGGGAATTTAAAAAAAAGTATAACCTCAAAAGAACAAGAAGTCTTTTTTTTTAAAAAAAAAAAATTGTTTGAGGATAGTTTAAATTGGATTTCAGAGAGTTGCAGTCCAGTATCCTCTGAAAAAAACAACAACAACGATGTGTTTGGAAAAGTCTTGGGAAGAATTTGACAATATTTCTCCCAGCCATCCCCACAAAAAACAAAACTGTAGAGAAAGAAGGGCATACAATGTACATGTATGAGATCACACAGAAAAGCAAAAGATGTAAATTTTAAGTGGGTTAGGTTGGCTCATGAGTTGTGTGCGTAGCATAATATGAAGTGGAAATGAGGCAAGCAAAGATCAGCAGTTAAATGAAGCAAAATCCGACTGTTTTTCATTATATACTTTGAGAGGACTCTGGGAAGCGAGAGACATTGGCATTCTGTTCTTCTTTTTACTCAGGATAATCCCCACTACAGAATTAATGCTTAGAGCAGATGGTACTGTCTCGTTTTCAGTGAAAAGAAATCAAGCAAGATAGTCCAAGTAATTATTTTTAATGGCCTGTGTGGCAATCGTCTTAATTTTGTGAGAAAACATTTCATCTTTTGTTTGGCAGACAGCTCTCTGGTTCACATTGGTCTCCCGTATTTCAGCCAGGAGGAATGTCCACTGTGATTTCAGGGTCTTGGGAATGCTCCATTATGTTCTGCAGAACAACCTCCAGCCAAAGCTTAAGCCGATAATTAGTGCTTCCCCCCGTTAGAATCAGTGAGAAGTATTTGGCTGGTCTACTCTCGAAGGGTTGATTGGCAGGGCATTCTCAGATTAATAAATACTTTCACTGAGTGTTACTCTACAAGGAATGCCTTCCCTATAGGTGGAGATCATATGGCTGCAAACCTGTGGCTCTGATCTATCACTGACCTGTGGCACAATCGCCATCCAGTTCAGTGGAATCAAATTCTACTCTGTATTCAGAGGAACTTTTACTTCCTTTCCAGTGAAGAAAAGATGCTCATGGAACACTAGAACAAGTAAATTTAGCCCCAATGAACTTCTAAAAATCATATTTCTGTTAAGTGACTCTTCAGTTGTTATAACAATAGGTTCATTCACAAGTAACCAGTAGTGCTGGCTTATTTGATTTGCTGTCAACCAGGCAAAGAGGAGGCATTTTCTGCATTTTTGTATCTTCTGTGCCTTATACTTTACAAAACAATTCATACAAGTGGAAAGAATTATCGTTAGAGACTGATAGTATCTATATAAAATAACAGTCTTAGAAGTTAGGAGATCCTCCATAATTCTCCCATAACCTCTGGGATTGTTATTTTATATAGGGACTATATAACTAGCTAACAATAATTAAATAGTAGAATAGTAAATCGTTAAGTAATAGAGTATGGCAGCTACTAACAATAGTACTGCGCTTCCCCCAAAATATGAACTACCCCAAAAGTAAGTCCTAGCTTGATTTTTACACATGCACCTAATATAAGCCCTACCCCCCAAAATAAGCCCTAATTAAAACCCCACCCACTCCAGGATCCACGGGTGAAAATTAAGCTAGGATGGGGATGTGGTGGGGTGGAGCTGCCCTACTACTTACCTTTGGACAGTTGCAGCCAGGCCTTGCACACACCCTGACACCTGCCTTGCCAGCCTATTTCTTCTGCAGCCGGCAAGGCTTTCCTGAAGGCCTTTGCAGCCGATCACAGAACTCAGGGTCTTGCTGGCCACAGAAAAAGTTCCTGTAGGCCTCTGACAGCGAAAAGGGGTTGGGGGGCGACATGCGCATCTGAGATGAGCCCGTGGATGACATCCCCCCCTGAAAATAAGACGTGGTGCCTTTTTTGGTGGCAAAAAAAATATAAGACAGGGTCTTATTTGGGGGAAACATGATAGTAATTGTTATAATAATAGTATAAGTAGCTAACAATAGTTAAAGTAGTTGAGCTGCGGCAGTAAAATCATACCTTTGGAACCTATAATTATTTTCAAGGCTATTGGAGGAGGAGGAGGAGGAGGAGAAGGAGGAGGAGGAGGAGGAAGAAGAAGAGGAGGAGGGGGAGGAAGAGGAGGAGGAAGAAGAGGAGGGGGAGGGGGAGGAAGAGGAGGAGAAAGAAGAGGAGGAAGAAGAAGAGGAGGAGGAGGAGGAAATCCATTGAGTTGAGTCTGGCTCTTGGCAATTCTATGGTCCAGGTCTCTTCACATCTTCCGATCTTGCACTATTTCTTTGAGCTTTTCTGTGCCCTGTCTGGTGTCAGCTTTGATAGTGAGGTTAATGAACAATGAGACAGGTATGATTGGTAATGTACAAGTGATGCATATGCAAATATATAGCTTTGGGTCATTATTGTCAATGAAAGTGTGTTTGTTTAATTGGGTTCTCTGTGTCTACTTTTAGGACTTGTGTGGAGAACAGGTCACATTTTAGGTCCTATTTATGCAGAAATATTGAAAATTTAAAAGGGTTCAGACACTGTTAAGCACCACGGTAGATATTGGTAGTCCTCAGATTACAACAGTTACAATGGCAAAAAGAGTGACATGACCAGTTTTCACTGTTACAACCTTTGCAGCATTCCCCATGATCATGTGATCAAAACTCAGGTGCTTGGCCACTGTTTCATACTTACGACCATTGCCGTGTCCGAGGGTCCCCTTTGGTGACCTTCTGGCAAGCAAAATCAATGGGGAAGCCAGATTCACTTAAGAACCACGTTACTTGTTTAACAACTGCAGTGATTCGCTTAACAACTTGTGGCAAGAAAAGTCATAAAATGGGGCCAAACTGACTTAACAAATTTCTCACGTAGAAACATAAATTTTGGGCTCAATTGTGGTCGTAAGTTGAGGACTACTTGTATAAAAAGTGGGAGACAAGACTGGTAAATCGGAAATGTTCTATTCCTGAAATGAAATGTTGCCCTCTCTCCCATTAAACAAAATCTGGACTCTATAGATCTATCTATCTATCTATCTATCTATCTATCTATCTATCTATCTATCTATCTATCTATCTATCTATCTATCTAATCCAGATTTTGCTTAATTGGGTTTGGGAAAGGGTGACATTTCATTTCATGAATATATATGTCTCAAAGAGAAGCACGAGATATTCACATTCTTTGCCAAATGAAAATGTCCCTCTCTAAAGATATCGGATTCCCATATTCTCACGAGTCCTTTCAAGGAGGGAAATTCGTGACGTGTTTTTTCCTATTGGACTTTCAGACTACTTTCTGTTTCTGCCTTCTGCCTCCTTCAGAGAACTGTGGCTTATTCTTAAGATTGAGACGTGTCTATGTGCTTCTTTTCCTCCAAGGGGACATGAGGTTTTCAGAAAACGGTCCTCCTGAAAAACGCTTCCCCTGTGAATTTTGCGGGCGAACATTTGCTGAAGGTTCCGAATGGGAGCGGCATGTACTGAGACATGGCATGTAAGTGGATCCAGAAGCTACCACTTCTTCTACCAGCAAAGGGAAGACTGGAGCCTTTTGCTGGCATAATGCATATTATGAAGCAAATACTACAAACAAAGCATGTTTATTATCAGCCAGCTAAAAATAAATTAATGCTGACTGTAAGAAACTGTATTTTTACTGTATATAGCTTTGGGTTTTACTGTAATGAAAACAAAGAACTTGTTGGGTTATTGGACTGTAGTTTCAAAACTGTGTTCTGTTTACTAACAGTAAATAGTCAATAACATTTTCCTTCTAATACATGAATCTCTAATATATAAGCACAGTGATATTGTTGAAAATTAGAAAAATTAAAGCCACCCTCAGCATAACACACCAAGAAATCCTGTGTATTTTTCCTTCCACAAAATGTAATTATTAACATATTTATCTGTATCAAATATTTGAATGGGACTAAAATACACAGCAGTCTTGATACAAAAGTTGTAATTTCTCCCTACAGACTTAATAATATTTTCATCTGCCTTTGAATATCCTCCTTCATTGGGAGGATAACATTTTCAAATGTTCTTATCCATTAAACTAGATAGTAATTCCCAATGTGGATTGTATAGTATAGTAGATATTTGACTGTATTCTATATTTGGGGGCAGGGTTTCTTGGACATTAGTTGGATTATATTCTAGAATGGAATTGTTTCTACTGTGTAGTTGGCAACATGCAGACACAACCCCTCCCCAAAGCAAGCAACTCTCAAATTGTATTTTATGCTTAACCCATGAACCCAGGGAGTCTAGACAGTGACCAGGATCTGATTCAAAGGCAGCATTCTTTATGTATGTATGTATGTATGTATGTATGTATGTATGTATGTATGTATAAGTTTTTGCGGGTATTTATATGTATGGTATTCAGCTTTGTTTAGGTGTTTCCCACGTCATTATAATTGTGCTTTTAAAGTTGTAGCAACGTTTCGGCAGAATCTCATCTGCCATCATCAGGCTTCTGTATAGGGTTTGTCTGTGAGTCATAACTGTTGTGAAAGCCTGACTCACAGACAATACAGAAGCCTGATGAAGGCAGATGAGATTCTGCCGAAACGTTGCTACAACTTTAAAAGCACAACTATAATGACGTGGGAAAATACCCGAACAAAGCTGAATACCATATATATAAATACCCGCGAAAACATAAGAAAACATACACACACACACACACACACACATAAAGAATGCTGCCTTTGAATCAGATCCTGGTGACTGCCTAGACTCCCTGCAGTTTTCCCGTCAAAATTTTTTAAAAGTGGTTTGCCATTTTCTCCTGGCCTAGGAGAGAGTGTAACTGGCCCAAAGTCACACAGCTGGCCTTGTGCCTCAGGTGGGACTAGGACTCATAGTGTCCAGTTTCCGGCCTTGGCGGGCATTTTAATCCCACTATACCAAATTGGTTCTCTTCAGCGCAGTTACTTTTAAGTCCCACAGATGGCCATAATCTCGCAAAGTCTAATTTGTCAGCCTTATTAAAAGGAAAAGGAAACAAAATCACAGAAGCCTTGGGAACCAAATATCTGTATATTTTAGTCCCCGACGCTCCTCGAGGTCAGCAAGTGCATGAAGACAGATGCTTCTTGATGCCTTTGTTCCTCTACCTCTCCTCTGATTTAAGGGGGAGCTTGCTAACCATTTGGAAGAAACAACACCCACCTTATTTTGCCCTGCACAGGTAGTCCTTGAGTTATGACAATTCACTTAGCAATGGTTTAAAGTTACAACACTGCCCCCAAAACCAGTCCCGAAGTTACAAATGTTGCAGCACCATGGCAGTCATTCACTCTTACAACCAGCCGCAGAGATGCATGCCCCCTGCCTATTCTCCCCCTCCCTCAGGGTCCTTACAGGCACTGGTCCTGATGTGTGCTAGCCCACCGGCTCCTCCCTGTCTCTGATCCACTCACTTACCTTTCAAAGATCTGCAGAGCTCAGGGCCGCGTGGCAGAAAAGTGGCCATCTTCTCAGACACTGGTTAAAGCTGTTTTACATGCCCATCTGTCCCCTTTGCAAAAGGCTTTTTGCACAGACGACGGAGGCACGACGGAGGCCAGCAGGAGCACAAGATTGCGCCCCCCGAAGGCTTCCACCCCCTTTACAAAAGTTTTTTTGATGTGGAGGAAAGAAGCCTGCAGATGCGCGAGATCGCCCCCTGCAGGCCTCTCTCCTCTGCGCCAAAAGCTTTTGCAAAGGGGACGGAAGCATTCAGGGGCGCGATCTTGCACCCCTGCAGGCCTCCATTGTCTGAGGGGCAAGCTTTTTCCAAAGGGGGCCGAAGAACACAAGAACTAAAGAAAACAACTTCGCCTGCATCTGAAGGCCATTTTTCTGTCACATAGCCCTGAGCTCTGCCGATCTTAGAAAGATAAGTGCGCAACTGAGGTGGCCCTAAGGGATGGGAAGGAGAATATGAGATACCTCAGTGGTCATGGGGAGGCCTTGGGCGGCCAGAGGCAGGTGGTCCTTTCCTGCACTGGCTCCCCATGGTTTTCCCCATCCCTGAGGTATTTCATGAGCACTTAACGAGCCGTGCATTCGATTAATGAAGGCAATGGGGAGAGGAGGGACGGGGTTCATTTAAAGTTCATTTTTGTTTAAAGCGGTTCCATTAACGTTACAACCATAATGGGCATTATGCGCTCCCTTAGGGTCGTAATTCGAGGACTACCTGTAGTGCAAAGGTACCATCTCATCCCTAGGCTCAGAGGCCATCTGATCTGGCTAAGTTATTCCTAAGACCCGTGTGGGTTTCCTCTTCCAACTTTCTGAGTCATGTTGGCTCTGCCCTAGCAAGAAGAGACGAGAGGTCCCTGGGATGCCCAAATTGTCACCTTTTTTAAAAAAAAAAAAAACCACCCTTCCTCTGTCTCCCATGTCCAGGGCAATGAATGAAACCAACCGGGTCATCAGTGACGAAAGCCAGGCCAAAGAGAACGCGGAAGAGACGGTTAAGGTACCCTTGGCAGAAGAAATGGAAAGCAGCCTGAAGAGACTGGGGGACTTTCCCCACCAGAACGAAGCTGCCATCTGTGTCACTGCTGCTGCTGCTGCTACTGCTGCTGCTGCTGATAATAAATCACTCCCAGAGATGGCAGAGGTCAAAAGTGAATGAGCACCTGGTGTGATTTCCGACAACCTACTTGAACAGTGATGAATGGGGAGGGGGCGGGCAGGGGGACAAGGAAGAATCAAAGCTGCTTTTAGGACTGAATGATCTATTTTCAAAGCACTGGTACCTGTGTGGGTGTGTGTGGGTGTGTGCGGGCGTGCGTGGGCGTGTGTCTGTATATAGATTAAATTTATTTAATTGAGGACGGTGGGATCCATGGCTCCATGACACCCGCACGACTCTTCTGGATCTCGACAACGGGAAGTTAACACGGTCATAACTTTGGACTTGCGAGAATCGAATTCCCAGATGTGTCTTGCATTATTTTGCCTTTGTGCTCCACCGCTGGAGACTTCGGGATCCTTTCGGCGAGAGAGGCGTCTCAAGGATGGAAGAATGCAGGGGACAAAAGTTCCGTGCCCATCTTTGGGGCACTCTTTTTTTTTTCTTTTCTAGTTTTAATATACATACTACGCTTTTCCAGAGTGACAAAAAAAAAAAAAAACCAAGAAAAAGAAAAGAAAGTTAAAGACTGCTTTGGCTTAAAACAGTCACCTGTTTCCTAGTACCTCAGAATTAACCAAGGGAAATTAAAAATGAAAAAAAAAAAACACACAAAACAAATCTCTGCATTTGTGAGTACTACCTGTTGTCATTGTGGTTAAATATATATAGAAAGACAGACTGCTGGGCAAGATGGTGAATGGAAGAAAAACCACAAAGTTTTAAAAGAAAGAGAAAAACACACAAAAAAACAAAATTGTGCTCAAAAATCCCTGTGGGGGGTTTATTTCTTAAAATACTGTGATTTTTTTAATTATTTTAGTAAAAAAACAAAACAAAAAAGAGAGAATTCCTAGATACCTGTCTGTGACTTGTCATCTTTTATTCCAGGTAAGCTGTTTGTTAGCGTTCAGCTATGATTTTAGGGCGTTGGGTTGCTTGGTTGGTTGGGTTTTTTTTCTTTTTTAAGACTCATGTGATTGACTCTGTGCCGTTCTTGTTTGCCCCATGTCTACGTTGGCTCAGCCTGAGGGATTACAATACAGCACAATTAATTTTTTTTCCATGTAAAGTAATGTCCCCACCACGCATTTCTCCTTTGCTCTCTCATCCAATGAGATAGGGCTGGGAAGGAGAAGTAGTTCTTGTGAATAGATGATGATGATGATTATTATTTAGTTTTAAACATGTGGAGATATCAAAGAAGGTAACTTTTTTAAAGAAACTCAAAAACAAAAAAACCCTTTTAACTAAAGAACCAAACTTACAGCACAGCTATGCAGATTGTGGACCCACCCAAGAGTCCTCAGAATCATTCTGTTGCTCGTCCAATTGAACATTTTTCACTGGTTATTATTTTGGTTACTTAAGAATGGTTGCCTTTTTTTTTTTTTTTTAGTGTGGTGTCTCGTTTTGGTACAAGGAGGGTCGGAGGGGGAGGGAATCGATAACCACATAGTTCTAAAGTTCAGGTAACCCAGTTTTGCAATATTAGGAGCCTAGAGATCTACATTTTATGGACTTCAAGGAGGGAGAAAAATCATTGCGCCACCTCGCATTCTTCACATGAGGGGGAACAGCAGAGCCTAAACAGGAATAGAAGTTGTGTTTTTGAGTTCCTTTTTCCATGTAAAAATGTTGGGATATCTTGCATGAACCTGAAGCAGAAGGTCCAGGCCCAGGGAAGAATGGTCTGATAAATGGGGTTACTTTCCAAAAGTAGAAAGTACTTGAGTGAAATCTAGTTTTAGAAATGCATGTGTCTCTTTGGGTTGCTTTTCTTTTCTTTTTCCTTTTTTCTCCCTTTTTTCTTTTCCTTTTTATTATTATTATTTTTTTTACCTTTGAGGGAAGGGGAAGGGATGAAGCTGCCGAGAAGCCAATATCCACACAAAAATTCTCAAATGGATGGTGTAAAAGAGGTGAAAAGGAAAAAAAACGGCTGCCATTACATTTGTGGAAGAAGTGCTACTTGAAAAAAGCATGATGTTTTGAATTTTGCAGATTTAAGTTTGTGAGGGTGGGCTTTCAGTTTTGTTTTGGGGTTGTTTTTTTGGTCCCCCCCCTTTTTTTTAATTATTTGGTGGGGGAGGGAAAGTCATGCGACGAACACATTGGAAGGAGAAGTATAAATAAACATTTTGTGTCTGAATGTTTTCTTTTTAATTGGCCTCATATCAATTGTATTTAAACAGTTCCATACCTGGATTGGATGTTTGTAATGGTTACCAAAAATGAAAAAGAAAAAAAAAAGAAATGATTGTGACATGCTTTTATCACTACTTTATTTTTCGAATAACATGTAAATATTGTAATCCATTGGATTTTTTTGTTTTTTGTTTTTGTTTTTTTTTGGTTTATTTTTTGCTAACCTGTTAATAAATATATGGGACCATTATCCTTTTTAACAAGTCTAGAATGTCATATTTTTTTTCCTTGTGTTTTTTCCCCCCTCCCAAATGTATCCCTTGATATATTGTGGACACACATTTTAGATGCATTATTACGATTCTGTTGGCTGTAATGATGACCTAGGATTGAGAGTAACATCCTTTTTTTTATTTGTTTAATTTATACAGAGGACTTTTTTCAGAGTTTGAGAGAAGGAAATAAATAGCAAAATGATAACCCACTGGCTTCAGAACTCAGTATTTCCTAATTAAAATTAACTACTGCTCAGTGTTTGGTGGGTGAGGCGTGGATGTTCTGAAATGTTGCACTGATAACTTTTTTAAGGCAAAAGAAAACGAATAAAAAATTTTCAAACAGAAGTGTGCGTATGGTTCTCTCAAGTTCAGAAATGTTCTGCCTTTTTTTTTGTCTTGTTTTAACCTGAAATATTGGCCCTTTCATTTGATGTCATGGTTATCAGCAGTGAAAAGCAAGTATTTTTTTAATCATTATCAGACCTGGCTAATTTTTTTCCCCAATGAATAGTTTGGTTGGATTATTTTTAACATTTTTTTAGAAGTTTGTCAATGTTTTTGTTTTTTGTTTTGGTCTTGTGAAAATTCTTCATTTGAAGCTAATCCTACAGGGTTCAACGCATTGGTTTCTTCAAGAGACATCACCAGATCTTCCATTAAACTCGGCAGGTTTGGAACTCATTTTAAGGTTTAAAGGTTTTCCTCTGTCCAGACATGACCGCGACTTGGGGACGGTGCTCATCTCAGATTCTCAACCAAGAGATCCTGGGTTGTCTGAGAGACGTTTTCTGTCATGTGGCCAGAATGGAAATATAGAACACGGTATCCTTTCCTGCCAAAGTGGTGCCTATTTATTTACTCTCATTTCCATGCTTTCGAACTTCTAGGTTGGCAGGAGCTGAGGTGAGTAATAGGAGCTCACCTGTCACATGACACTCGGGTTGCAAATCTGGGCTGTCTGCTTTCCAGCTGACAAGTTCAGCGTCTTCACCGCTGAATAATCATGCCCCTTGAAACTCATTTAGCTAACAATGATAATAGTTACATAGTTCTTCCCAGAGGTCAGTCATCTAGGTTAGTGAAAACTAATATTCCTAATAAGAAAAAGAGATATGGTGTAAACCTAGCAAATACCGATAGATGTAGGTTCCAGTAGTCTTCTCAAACAAAAATGGCATTGCTGTTCAAACTTCACCTCTAATGTCATCTAATAACACTTAGGGGGTAGGGTGGGCAGGGAAGGATAGCACACAATAGCAATAGCGCGTAGACTTATATACTGCTTCACAGTGCTTCACAGCCCCCTCTAAGCGGTTTACAGAGTCCACATATTGGCCCCAACAATCTGGATCCTCGCTTTACCCACCTCGGAAGGATGGAAGTCTGAGTCAACCTTGAGCCTGGTGAGATTTGAACTATCGAACTGCTGGCAATTGGCAGTTAGCAGAAGTAGCCTGCAATACTGCATTCTAACTGCCACCACGGCTCTTTTGTGGATTATCACATGATGCTCTTGTTTGATGGCTATGCTATCTGGATATTCTGGGAATATCTCCAAAATTTAGGAAAAGAGGAAGGGTGTTGTATTTCCAATCTCCATGCAAGTAATCCTCAATTTACACCTCATATAATGCCCGTTCAAAGTTACACCACCACTGAAAAAAAGGACTTGCAGTCAATTTTGAGACATTGCAGCATCCCTATGGTCATGTGATCAAAATTCAGACACAGTCACAATGTCCTGGGGTCAGAACATCTGCGATATTCTGACAAAAGTCAGTGGGGAAGCAAGATTTACCTAACCAAGTTAATAACAACTGTGGCAAGAAAGGTCGTAAAATGGGGGAAAACTCACTTAACAAATGGTCTCTGCTGTTCTCCCTCCCCATACCACTTGGGTGCTATCTTAAAGGGCTTTCAATGAATCATATTGCTTACCTAGCTTGCTTATTTTGGTGATAATTATGAACCTGCAGAGTTCATATTCAGAGAATATTAGGAAGGAACAATCTACTGGGGGCAGAAAAGCAATGATAAGGATAGAATAAGAACAGGAGCAAAATACTTAATCTCAGTGCAATTAAGAACCATGAAGATAGGGAACTTTTTAAAGATATTGTTGACCAACAACTCTCATTATCCCTAACTATTGGCCATGTTAAGTGGGTCTGTAGCAACTGTTAAACTGTGTGTATTTCAACTCCCAGATCTGCCACTGGTCTTAAGCAGGGGTGTCAAACTCAAGGCCCATGGGCCGGATCTGGTCCACAGGCTGTTGAAATCTGGCCCCCAGGGCTAGCCTGGAAATAGCAAAAGACCGGCCCGGGGTGCCTCTGCCAGCCAAAATGAGTCACAGGTGGCGCACGCCCCCCCCGGCCGCCGCCCTGTTTTCAGCCTGGACAACCTCCTGCAGCAGTCTGTCACCCAAAACAGCAGGGCAAGGCTGTCCAGGCCAAAAATGGCGCAGGGAGGGCCACACATGCCCCCGGCACCCCATTTTGACTTGCAGGATGCTGCAGGAGGTGTCCATCCCATCTCTTCCCCCCCCCCCACCCCGGCCAGCCTGTGGAGGAGAACTGCAATGCTGATCCTCGAAGAAATCCAATTTGACACCCCTGGTCTATAGTGTTTTATAGTGTTTTGTGTTTTTTTTTTAGTAAACAATCATTATTTTTTGTTAATTTGAAAGAGTGTATGGGCAATACATGAAACTATACATAAGCAATGTCCTCATACCAGTTAAAGCAGGGGTCCCCAACCACCGGTCCGCAGACCGGTACTGGTCCGTGGAACAAGTCCTACCAGGCCGCTGGCTTGCTGGGCGCCGCCATCTTGTTTTGATGAAAAAGTGCTTCCCGGTGAGCTTTTCCGGGCAGAAAGCTCACCGGAAGCACTTTTTCATCAAAAAAAGATGGCGGCGCCCAGCTGATGTCGGTACCGGGCCGCGCCATAAAAAAGGTTGGGGATCACTGAGTTAAAGGACTTTGAAGTGCACTTATTTCAATGTAAAAAGAAAATGCACATAACTCTCCAAAAATGAACATGGTAAATCATTGGATTGAATAGTGAAAAAATATGCTCAGAGTGATTATGTGCTCTTGTATGTTCTCCTGACCTATAGTCTAACTATGATTTATTTAAAAAAAGTGGATTACTGATGGTTCTTAGGTTAATAAACTGTTACAATTAACCTATAATTTCATTTATCTCGCGCATATTGTCTAAAACTCCCATTTTACTGTAATCATAAACTTGATGTGTATAGTATACTGAAAAGTTGTCAAATATATTGTGAAAGGTCATAGAATGAGCTTTATGGCTAGCTGAAGAATTGAACAAAAGTCTTCCAGTGTTAGCCAGGAAAGTCTGGCCATGATAACATAATGGTCTGAAAAAAATTTCACCCTTGCCGTGACTTATACACTTAGAATAAGTCATGCTAACTAGATAAATGGTCATTTATCCTATGTCATCTGCAATGAGAAAGTAATATTAATTTAGTTTAGTTTTTTATAATCTGTCTTCGCCCATTAACCTACAGAGTGTGATTCTGGCAGACTACTTTGGTCTCAACATTTCTGGAAAAATGCCAGCTTGGGGGGGAAAAAGACTGGGAAGATTTTTAAACCAAGATACAAGTAGTCCTCATTTAGTGACCACAGTTGGAACCAGCAAATCAGTCAAGAAACAAATTGATTGCTACTATTTCAAGGAGGAAAAACAATTATCATTAGTATCAGTATAAGAGAATTTGCTTAGAGATAAGGCAGCCATGCAAAAATACAAATGGCCCTTCTCTTTGCTGCCCTCTAGGGATCTTCTGGAGTTCTGCATCCCAGATCTGCTAGCCTTATTTTTACCAAACTGTTCTTGGTAAAATAACCTAGTTTTTTCCTAGTTAGCTGATTTGTTGACGAGCCTGGTTTTAGAACAGGTAGTTTAGAAGAATATCTAGAAGGCTGTATCTATAGAACTATTACCACTGAGATGAAATTGGATGAGTTAATACAACTGACACTACCAAGTAAAAATTAAACTGACAATCTTTTCCAACCTTGTAACCCCCAACAGTGTAGAATTGAATTCCTATTACACACATTAAATTTCCAACATGGAAAAAAGCTAAGAAGGCTAGCAATTGCAAAATATTGACAAGGTACTACTGATATATCCAGTGCAAAAAAATAGTTTGTATGTATGCAAAAGCATTTTTATAACTACAATAAATGAAAAAATACAGTGTCGGGATTAAACTAACCTCCAGAGTCAGCATCCTTGGGTACCTTCTAAATCTCCAGAACTTCTACAGGCAGTCCTCATCTTATGAACTTGGTTAATTACAGTCATAAGTTATGATGGTCCTTAAGAAGGTCTCCATGAGATTGCGCAGATTTAATTACCTTTTTTGTTGTTAAGCAAATGCCACAGTCATTAAGTGACTGCGTCAGCCCCAAAGCACCCCCCAAAGCAATTATCCAGGCTGCACAGGAACACAAGGCTGTGC